AGATGGTGACACTACACTCATTACCATGGTCACCTCATTAAATTAAAAAAGAATGGGGTTTTACATTTTGCAGATTAGGTGACTGCATTAGTGCCAGTTAATTTACAGTCTTCAAAAACTGTCCACCTAAGTTGTATCATGGAGTGGCACTGTTTTGTTCTCGTATGGAATAATTCATAATTTGACACCTTAACTGCAACCACTTCCAGGCTGAAAGAGCTATCTGACTACGTTTTAACGTCTTGAGAGGTGAGAAAAAACACAGAGAACGAAATTAACCCCCAAATATTTCAAGCTCTAATTCAAAGCACTTCAAATGCAAGACATCGCACTGATGCAAGAGAGAAATGATGCAACATTACAACAAGACTGGCAGGAATTTAAATGATCACATTAATACATTAAACCCTGCACTCTTCATTATGTAATATTGCTTTCAGTGCATAATGAATAAATAAAGAAGAGATATATTTATGCATCCAAACATTTACATTTGTGAAATTATAATATGTCAGAGTAAACATTCGATTAGAGTTGCTGACTGCTGACTACATGCCAAACTTCAGTGAGATGAAAGTAAGAGAGTTTTCAACCACTTTAGCTTATAGAGACCCATCAGACATCTCACATTAAAGTCAGATAAAGTCTGGATATCCGTTCTTATACACTCCTGCTGATAAGAGCGCTTGTCGCTTTTGTTCTACACTTGATAATCTTCTGCATGTCTAATGAATAATCTAATTAGAGACTTGTTGATCTGATAACAGGACATTTACACAAAGCAGCAGCTCTAAAGTGGGATATCACAGTTCAGATCTGCAGCTCATTATCCTACAACACCCCACATGTTCATCAGATATTGCATGGATAATGAGCCTTAAGTGAAAAACACTGAAATAATGAAAGAATAAAAGAAAGATGTCATATTCAGGGCCAGGTGCATTTATACATTTGTTGTCATGCAAATAACTTCCTAATGCCCAATAAATGGATGATGTATTTTGACAAAATTCTCCTCTTCTGATGTAAATTGAACATTCCTAATCTTGGGTCATGCACAGATAAGCAGTATCCTCACCAATCACAAGGCTGATTGGTATGTCCCACTCATACGTCTTTAACAAACCTGTGTTCCCCTGCGGTCTCTGTCTTTAAGTGACTGTGACTCAAAATCAGTTTATTTATATAGTGTTTTTTACAACAGGTGTTGTCACAAAGTAGGTTTACAGAAAATCCAGGTCCAAGCCCCAGTGAGCAAGCCAATGGTGACAGTGGCGAAAAAAAAAACTCCCTTAAGAGTTGGAGAAACATACATGAAAGAAAGATAAGCTGTCTATTTGTCCATTTATTCAACAGGCTACGTCAGCATTTCCTGAATGCAGATGCAGCAGTGAAGTGAACTACAAGGGGAAAGTTTGTGAGCAACCTTTAAATTGGCTTGACAACACTGTTGCTATCAAATCCCAGGTAGGTGCTAGGGTGTTACTATGGTGTCCCAGGTGGTTGCTAAATTGTTGTTAGGCCATTGCTATTTATCACAAGTTGCTAATATGTGTCTATACAGGTGATAGCATGTATGTGAGTCTGTATGTAATGTCTATGAGGGGCAGCATCTGAGATGTCCTTTGTGACATTATTTGTGTCAGTTAGATTTAATTTTCTCAACATTCAAATGAGGAACAGTAATTTGGCTTTGTCAAGCAACCTACATTAATATGTCGCCACATAAAAGCTGGATAATGTTTCTAGTCAGTCATAACCACAGTGGGGACAGTCTACAGCAGAGGTTTCTGGTCCCAGCCCCTGAGACCCCATGCTCTGAATATTTTTGTTTTTTCGCTACTCTGCACACCTGACCCAGACCAACAAGGAGCTTATTAATTAGTTAATGAGTTGAATCAGGTGTGCTAGATGAGACAAAACATAAAAATGTGCAGAGTGGAGTGGCCAGGACTGGGATTGGGAACGGGAACCCCCTGCTCTACAACCCCACTTATATATGCAGAGCCCATTTCACTCATTTCTCTCCACTTCACTCACGCTATTCTGTTTAGTTCTGCTCAGTTGTAGCAGATTAGGAACGTTGATCTGAGGGCTGTCAATCACAGGTGCTCATTAGAATACTAGGTCATGCCCAGAGAGTCATCAGAGAGGTCTGATCTGTGTTTTTAATTTTTTTTATATTTCTTTTATTTATTATTATCTTTTTATTTATATTATATATTATATTATATTATATTTAATCTTACGCTCCAGTTTAGTATCATACAGGGTACCAAGCTATCTGTATTGCTATGCCAAGGTTTTCTGTGTTTTCTTTGCTTCGTTGTTGGTTCCTTGTATATTTTCTGAACTTTTCAGCCTAGATCAGCCCGTATGTATCTGCCTGCCCCACTTTTGACCCCTACTATTTGTAATGATGCTAATTTTTGGAGTAGCCCAAATAAACTCAGCTCCTGCATCCTCCGCCTGTGCCTCCACCACAGCGAGCCAATTTCAGATATAAATAGCAGAGCTAAAACTGACAAGTGTCGCTGCGCATTCTGCAGAGAAGGTACAACTCCTGTAAAAGCTCAAATAGAGAACAAAAAAGTAATTACATTCAAAAAACACCAATAATATTTAATAATATTCAAAGCAATAATATAAAATAATACGCTACTCAAATTAAGCATTTCTAAAAAAATTTATTTACCATAGACTTCTCAAGCTCAATTCAACATCAAATTTCTTTTATCTTGCTTATTTTGGCTGGCAATGCCAACCTGAGATTTCTCATCATGCTTTCTCTCTCTCTCTCTCTCTCTCACAGGGCGATCAATAAACATACACTGCTATCATCTCTCCTTCATGAGACGGAACAAATTCCCATCATTCCTCTCTTCCCAAAATCACTGTCACTACACAAACGCTGAACAGGATATCAAACTCCACCAGCAGAATAATAACACTGCTATCAGTGAGTGTAAGATAAGATTATATCCCCCCGCCGAAAGCATTATATGAAGAAATAAATAAGCAACAGCTTCAGAGAAATCGCTTACTGAGAGCTCTTCACTATAGACATACAAGTGAACAATACAGTAAATGGAAAATATTAATCAGTATTCCTGAAAAGGATGGAACAAATGTTCCACTTTCTAAAATTACAAAGGTCAAAAACCCCTTTAAAAACAGCCATAAAACCACGTATATCCAACCATAAAGGGCCCAAAAAAAGAAACTTGCCTTGCTTTTTTTCTTAAACTGTTATATTTTCAAAATGAACCATTCGCTCCTCATTTTAAATTCATCATGGTTGCGACATCACCACCATGAACACATCTCCATGTGGAAATCCAAGTGGTTTAGACCCACTAACTCAGGCTACAGGAAGTTCATAGGAGTGTAAGGTGCGGGAAGACGATTAAACGTTGTTCCTGGCTGTCAGGAAGCAAATGGAACATTGCAGCTTCCAAAGGATCCACAAATCTAAAAGGAGCAGCTGAAGACAGGGTTAGTTTAACCCACTGTTACAACTAAGACCCCCAAAGGAAACAATGAGAGAACTCAATATCCTCTTTATACATTCAAATAATGTTTTGTTCACAAAATACATTTTATGGTTTGGATATTTGCTCTTCACTGAAAAAAAATGCTATCTTGGCAAGTGAAATTATCTTCAATTTAGTTGGTAATATATATCTAATATTTCTCATTTTGAGACTGTTGTAAGCGTTCTAGACAATTTTCATTTGTTTGAAGTAATTTTGTCTAGTAAAATCATCTCACTTTATTGCCAGAACATTTTGCTTATTTCATGAAATATGCTTAAAACAATCAAAATTATGTGCCACTATAGTGAGATAATTATTACTTCTCAATTCTTCTAAAATGACTTAAAACAAGTAAAAAAACATTTTGAAATAAGTTAAATAATCTTATAATATTCCTACAACCACACTAAAGTGAGAAATATTAGATATATCTACTAGATTTAAGATTTCATATGCTTTTCTGAAGTGTTATACTTTATAAACATATAAATAAATTTGACACGTGACAAATTTCAATGGCCACATTTATTTTGATGAATTTATTTTTATGTATTTAGGTTGGAAAACTTGTCTGGTTTAAATAAAACAGAGCCATATTTAATTCACTGTGTTTTGGGTTTTACATCTTTAACAGATTTTAACAGACTTTTTAGCAACTGTCACAACTAGCCCCTCAGTTACAATCAACCCCACATACGGGGTAAGTTGTAATGTTTGCACTCCCACCAAATGTGCTGAGAACAAATTTTATGCTTTAATTTTTTATCATTTTTAGTCTGAGAACATTTCAGACTAAAGAGCACCTTTATAAACATGATTTTTATTCAAAAATAAACTGCCTCTGTCATTCAAAAGTCAAGTCACTGTGGGTTAATTCAGCAGATGAGCTACGTTAGAGTTATGTTAATGTTAACAATTTAACGTTTTCTGTTCAGTGAATGATGTGGACACATGTTGGCTTGTTGAGGAAACACTGAGAACAGAAAAATATCTTTTCTAACTTCAGTTATGATGGTTCGTCTAGCTGCACTAAGTTACTGCAGACTCAGTCATGTCTGTGGCACCTTAAGGCAATAATGTTTTGTAGTAATGTTAGTAAAGTAAAGTAATATACAGTAGTAAGTAGTACGGTGTATGGTGACCTTTTTCAACATCAACTTTTAACATTTACAGTTCTACTTTTGAGGACCTGACCCTGCAAGAACAGCGCCAACTACATTTGTTACACCGGACTGCTTTTTGAATGAAGCACAACACAGGACCGCCAATCATTCTTAAAGGTACAGTAAGAAAAAAATAGCCTGTTTAAGCGATAAAGAGAGGATGCAAAACTGAATTATGACTGTCTTTGGACCAAAAATCCATACACATTCAACAGAGGAAAACAATAAAATACAAGAAAAATGTAGAATGTGGGCCCTTTTTAAAAATTGATTGTAAAATATAGGTAGCAGCTTTTCTTACCTTATGAAAACTTCGAAAGTAGGCTGCTTTTTCGTCAGGATATTTCTCTAACCGACGTGGCCCTTTACTGGACGCCTTTTTGAATACAAGCCAGCATCGTCTGAAAATCTGTCAAAAAAAACAGCACATTTTATAGTTGTATAATTTTAACCTAGGCTATAGTTAATATCAGTCATTAAGCTATTAATATGGCCAGTGCAATGTGGAGCACCCACCAGAGTAGCATCAGTATATAACAGTGATTAACCCTAATTAACAGTGGAACTTCATAATACAGATGTTAAATCATTTTGGAACACAAATACAACCAACACTTCAACAAAGAATAAGACACAGAACAACACGACTGAACCTCATAGGCATAAAAAAAAACCTCCAGCAGGGCGAAAGATTATTGATTCGGCTTTGACTCTGACTTCCGTCGTCTTTCATTTCTGTGAGTTTGATCCCTTATCGATTAAAGCAAAAAAAACAAAAAAAAATTAAAACCCCAAATTCAGCCTAGAACCATCACTTATGCAGGGTCTGAGATTTACATAGATCAAAGACTCACTTCAAGGTCAAAGTCGGACATGGTTTCTGAGAAAGTGGTTTATGTACACATTGCACTATAGAGTTATAGTAAATGTACTTCTCACTTCTGCAGTTCATATATGAAAACTAAGCTTCCAAAATAGTTTTGAATTCGTTACGATTGTGATATCATAACGATAAACACATCTCTATTCAGCCTATAGCAGTTGAGCACTACGCATTCAGCCTACAGCGGTTTAGCCCCACCCATTTGCTTTACAGCATTTTGGCCCCACCCTGCTTCAGGCTACAGCATTTTAGCCCTGCCCATTTGGTCTGCAGCGGTTTGGCCCTGACTGATTGGACTACACCATATTAGCCCCACATGTTCAGCCTACAACAGTTTAGCCCCGCCCATTTGGTCTACAGCAGTTTAGCACTGCCTGATTGGCCTACAGCATTTAATCCCCACTCATTCAGCCTACAGCATTTTAGCCCTGCCCATTCACCCAACAGCAGTTTAGCCATGCCCATTCTTCCTATGGCCCCACCCGTTTAGCCAGCGGTAGTTTATTCACACCTGTTCAAGTGATGTGTTTCTGGAATATATCGTTTGCTAATCATTATCACAATACAGGCCTTTGCAATACTGATAGCACAGGAGGCTGTAACCAATCACATTGTGCTGTGAGTATACTTACAAATCACAGTCCCACGTTTCATAAATTAACATATTCATGTAATCCAACAAAAAGGACATTATTTTGTTCAAAATAATGCCAACCTTAAACCATGTCACATTACTAATTCACCAGTGTGTTGTTAATATATCGGAAAGAAAACTGCAAACGCGGCATGTAGCAATATGAACACAACAGTGTTCTTTTTGTCTTTGCTGTCCAGCTCTATCCAACAGGGAGCCTATAAAAACTCATGCATGCTGTGCCTTAAGTGGGTACGCACTCTGCAGACTATGTTCTCCATCTCTTTATAAAATAAAGGGATTAAAACAGTAAAAGAAACTGTTTTATTTGAATTAAATTTAAGTACTTTGCTACCACAAGCTACTGCCTGCAGACCCTTTTCCATTGCTAGATAATTAGCTCAATTTGAAAAAACAGTTAATTTGGGTCAAACAAATCAAACAAACAAGCTGCTGCTGGTGTCCAGAACAGCTTTTTCACTCCCTTCAAACATTATTGCAAAAATATTATCGCAATGTGACTTTTCACCAAAGTCATTTAGACCTAAAAGCTAATCAGCAGGGTCCTCTTAGCCATGGTCTCAGTCTTAGTCTTGGCCAATCAATAAATGAACACTATCATAATTAAAGATGAGGTTTGAACCACTGTTTTTCAGAAGGACTGTTAGCATCTGTTTAACATCTCTGATTTATTTATATAATGAAATGTCATACATTAAGACTGGCATCCATTTCCACTAAAGCCGTTTATGATGCACTGGGGGAGGAGGCTGAATAAGAGATGATCTGGATGACAGCCAGGCTTTAATATCTCAGTATTTTTACTACTTTAACCCTTTCAACTCCAATTTAACTAATGCTCCTTTGAAAAGTACCTCCACCAATCCACAAGATACACCATCCATACCATCTGTGTAAATATATCTACATATCTACATACATATCTATATATTGTTGCTGTCATCAAAATCTCTTTTTACATAATTTACAAATGTCAACTGACCTAACAGAAATGTAATGGACAGTTCTTCTTTGACAAGTCCCATACATTTACTATTAACAAATAATACATTCTTACAATATATCCAGACCACCCATCATTTTAATTTCCTGTCAAAACATTGACATAACATCGCGATAATCTGCTTGCGTAAGGGAGGAGAAAGTCAAAGGAAAATAAGTGAAAAAACAGAACTCAACTGCAAGACCTGTTAGACCACTCTCTATCAGATAAACAGCACTTAAAGCTAGAGCAATGGACTGACCACCCCAGAGTCTAGACCTCAACATCACCAAATGTGTTTGGGATTATCAGGATGATGACAAACAGAAAATGTAAAGCCAATTTCTAAGACTGAACTTGAGGTGTAGAAAAAATATCCTTGCAGATTTCTTTAAAAACTGAAAGTGAGTCTCCTGAATAGAAGGGGGCTGTTTTGACTAATAATAAAAATAAATAATGGTGGTCTCTGACTTTAGCACTGTAGATGTTCAGACATTTTAATGAAAGTGAAGATTGACCATCTTCTGTCTATGGCTTTTTTTCTTGTTGTGTAGATGATATCAAGTACTTCCCTCGTCAACTAACCGAGATTTCTTTAAGGCCTCCTCTAGCTGCGCAGTGACCTGAAACTGAAGCTCTGGGAAAGTATTAAATCAGCCATTAGCGGCTTTAGATAATGGAAATGTTGTCAGATGGCTATTTACAAAAACATAGCAGGAGAATAGTTTTGTAAATAACCCACATGGCCTGATTTAGGCTGGAAAACAAATTAAAACAGAACCTCTGTCCACCTACTCGTGCTGCAGGACAGCAAGAGACTATACTATAAATGTGTGGTACCTTTTAGGAGGATTAATTTTCAGGGGGATTCTCCATTTCCTGGAGCTGACAGCCAATATTCATTTGCGTGATATATGTGCGTTTTCCGCTGCGCTTCAACAGGATTTGTATCCATGGCTAAGATTAATTTGTTTACCCAGCTGGTACAGAGCATAAAACAGGAACAATGCCTTTGTTGGCATGCAGTATAATTGATCTAGGTGAATTTCTCTACCTATGGCTCCTAATCTGTTTTACCACCGCCATATTTTACCAGTATTTAATGACATAACATAATGGAGATTAGTGCAATTAAGATTAATTGATTTGCTGTTTTACTGCATGTATGAGTATTCTGATGAATGTCAGCATAGATGAATACCAAATGATGTCTGCACTATTGTACATATACGTCGAGGCAGGAGTAAACACAACTTTCTAATCAAAACAGGATGTTCTAGATTTCTGACGTAAATTTCGGACTGATTCTCCTCCTACAACTCTTTTACAGTACCTTAGGATCTAGTTATTAACCAGGAAAGTGTGAGGTACAAACTTCAAAGTACTAGGTAATTATTTTGAGTCACATGATGGTATGTTCCAAAGCACTCTAACTAAATTACACTGAAATGCCCAACAGGTTCTAGATATTAATTGGGTAAGTATGCAGTATAAACTCTACAGCACTGTGTAATTATTTTGGGTAAAAAGTTGCAGATAGTTAGATATTTACAATGATTTAATTCTAATGTACTTAAACCCAAGATATTAATGGAGATAGTATTAAGCTATGGTACCATGAAAAAGTATAAACACCCTTCACAGTTTCTTTTATTTTTGGATATTCGTCACACTTGAATGTTTCAGGTCATCAAACTACTGCTAATATGAGACAAAGAACCCAAATAAATATGAATTAAATAAATAAGTCATGATTTCATTTATTGAAGGACAAATGCTGTTCAGCCCTACCTGGCCCTATGTGAAAAGTAACTGCCCCCTTAGCTACTAAATCAACCAGTTAATCAAATTCAATTAACTATCGGATTCAATTTCACTGGCCACACCCAGGCATGATTACCGCCAGAAGTGCTAAATCTAAACATCACTTAAATAGAACCTGTCTGACAATGTGAAGCAGGCTAGAAGGTCTCAAAAAGCAGGACATGATACCACATTTTAAAGTGATTCAGATACAGATGCGAAACAAAGTCACTGAAATCTACCAGTTTGGAAAGCCATTGCTAAGGCTCTGGGACTCCAGTGAACCACAGTGAGAGCCATTATTCATGAACGTAGAAAACTTGGAACAGTGGTGAACCTTCTCAGGAGTGTCTGGCCTACCAAAATTTCACCAAGAGCACACTGACAACACATCCAGGAGGTCACAAAAGAACCCAGATGAACATCTAAAGAACTGCAGGCCTCACTTGCCTCAGTTAAGGTTAAGTTTTTTTATTAGTACCACTTACTTTTCCAGCCTTTTGTTGCCCCTGTACCAACTTTTTTGAAATGCGTTGTTGCCATCAAGTTCTAAATGAGTTAATATTTTTCATGAAATGGTAAAATGCCTCACTTTCAACATCTAATATGTGTTCTATTGTGAATAAAATATGGGTCTATGAGATTTGCAAATCTATGAATTCTGTTTTTATTTGCATTTTGGGGTTGTAAAATTAGTTGGATGATGTGAAACATTTACATGTGACAAATTAGCAAAAATAGAAATCGGGTGAGGGGCAAATACTTTTTCACAGCACTGTAGATATCTACGAAATCATTATTTTACTTTCTGTTGGTAAGTGGCTGTCATTTTTTGGTATTTTTTATTTCTTTTAAAGTGAAGTTGAATGATTTAGATTTATTATGGGTTTGATTTTTAAGTACATATAAAAAACATTTTTCAAAAAATGCTGTCCCACTTTTTTATGTCACTACAGAAATACAAAGACTTTGAATCCATAGAAGGAGCCTTATTTTAGCCACACCCCTGCATTTTTGGGCCACATGGTGAGCAGTTAGATCCCACTGTTTTGAAGTAAGTGTGTCCCAAAGTCTGAAAATCAGAGT